CTACCCTTATGTTTCAACCGAGTTTTTCCTTCAACAAATTTTGTGTCTACCAAATTGGGTTGGTTGGGGTGTAATACTAATAATAAGTGTTGCCTTTAATTTAATCAATAAAATAAATTGACTTCATTAATTTTTTTGAACCACCTCTTAAGAAAATCTAAAAAATATGAATGGGATGATAAATCACAAGTACAAACTCATCATATTTTTTGCATTTTAGATAGGATTTATTTAGCAAAATTTAAGGGTGACGTCATCAATTTTTTTAGGAGGGATGAACAAATACATTTTGAACAAAAGTTTACCATGCTTATAATAACTTTAAAATATTCCCAAGATTTCAAAGCATTCGGTTTTGTAATTCCTGATTAAATCGATAAAATAAATTCACGCCTTCATTAATTTTTTTAAGTCACCCTGTATATGCAAATCGAAAAAATTTGAATGGAATGATAAATCACAAGAAGAGACTCACCATATTTTATACATTTTAGATAGGATCAATTCAGCAAAATTTTGTGGTGACGTCATAAATTTTTTAGGGGGGACGACCAAATACGTTTTGATCAAAAATTTACCATGCTTATGATAATTTTAAAATATCTTCAAGATTTCGAAGCATTCGGTTTTGTAGTTCCTGAGTAAATCAGTAAAATAAATTTACGCTTTCATTTATTTTCTTGAATCACCCTGTATATACAAATCCAAAAAATATGAATGAAGTGATAGATCACAAGTACAGACTGATCATATTTTGTACATTTTAGATATGATTTATTCGGCAAATTTTCGAGCTGACGTCATCAAGTTTTTGGAGGGGATAAGCAAATATATTTTGACTAAACATTTATTATGCTCTTTATAACCTTAAAACATGTGCAAGATGTCAGAGCATTCCGTTTTGTAGTTCCTGATTAAATCAATAAAATATATTTACGCATTCATTAATTTTTTTGAGTCACTCTGTATATGCAAATCCAAAAAATATGAATGGAGTGATAAATGACAAGTACAGGCTCATCATATTTTGTACATTTTAGATATGATTTATTCGGCAAACTTTCGAGCTGACGTCATAAAGTTTTTGGAGGGGATAAGCAAATATATTTTGACTAAATATTTATTATGTTCTTTATAACCTTAAAACATGTGCAAGATGTCAGAGCATTCCGTTTTGTAGTTCCTGATTAAATCAATAAAATATATTTACGCATTCATTAATTTTTTTGAGTCACCCTGTATATGCAAATCCAAAAAATATGAATGGAGTGATAGATCACAAGTACAGACTCATCATATTTTGTACATTTTAGATATGATTTATTCCACAAACTTTTGAGCTGACGTCATCAAGTTTTTGGAGGGGATAAGCAAATATTTTTTGACTAAAGATTTATGATGCTCTTTATAGCCTTAAAACATCTGCAACATTTCAAAGCATTCGGGTTAGCAGATTAAAAATTAAATTTCAAAATATTGTTTTATAATTTTGATTTTTTTTCCAAAAATCTGGACGTTTCGGGTGAAAAGTCGATTCAGAGTTGTAAACTACATGTGTAGGACTATGTTATTTTATACAATTGAAAACCCATTTACTATGTACAATTTTGAAGTGACGTCATCGCATTAGTGGTGGGGATGATTAGACAAATTTTGGTTAGCGTTTTACCATCTACATGATATTCTTAATATAAGTACAAAATTTCACAACAATCGGTAGAGTACTTTCGGAGATTATCTGTCTAATAAAAATCCGGGACAACAGACGGACAGACGGACAGACGGACGGACAGACGGACGGACAGACGGAAATGGGAGACCTATTTCTTCGTCTTCTAGGGGTCATGAAAGATCGAGAAAACGTAAAAGTAGAGAGTCGGCCGACGGACTCGATTACAATACTTCCTTTGCTTACGCTCGGGAAGTAAAAATTAAACAAACGGCTTTTCGTGCATGGTCAATTTTGACTAATTTCTTTTTGGATCTCTCGGTATTATTAAGGACTACCAATGTTTTGTCCCCAGTTTACAACATTTAAAAAAATACTCATTGAACTTGTGTAAAATTACTAATAACTAAAAAAATTATAAAAATGTGACATTCATTGTTTTCTCCCAACACCCTTCAAATGTTGGTGGAAATTTGAATAATATTTCAGAGGATGGAGTTTAAATATTTTACCTGCATACCAAATTTCAATGAGTGTTGAAAAACTGTTCTGGAAATATTTAGCTGTGTCCATACTGTATAGCATGGGACATTCTGAATAAATCTTTGAATGTCAATTTTTCAGAATTATGAGAATTGGAAAATCTTTATCAGCGATATTTCAAACTACGGTTAAATTTATATCATGACGAATTTTGCGTTCCAAAGATGGGATAAACGATCCAGCAAACTAAGATTTCGCACAAAATTCATCAAAAATTAAAATTGTTAAAAAATTAACTGAATGACTTTTCCTATTTATTGGGACGTGAATTTTAAACATGTATATTACTGGAAGTGTTGCGAGTGACATTAAATTCAAAAATATACATCAGACTGTCGTCAGAAAATTATCATTCGATGAAAAAAAACTCCGTAATCTGAAAAACAAATAAGATATTAACGGCATCTTTTTCTCAAACCTTCGTAAACAGTTAAAGCGCTACGTTAATTATCTTCAAAGAAGTTTATTTTCAATAATTTGCCTTTAACTCGAAAAACCATCAACGAAACCGTTATCGATCGATTTCAAAAACACGTACACCCAAAATTTTGGCACCTGTCCTTTCTCTTGAAGCGAATTCCTCACTTTTACTCACTGTTTTAACATATACATTACACATACGTACTTCCAGAAGATAAACACTCAGCGTCAACAAAGCTTTAAATTCAACAATGGAAGGGTTAATATTAATCGACTTGTTTGGCTGATACCTTTTAGCGGCGGCCACGAAACCTCCCGGCATATCGCACGAGCTGAAGATTTTAATTGAAACTAATCAATATTAATAAAGCTGTTACATGCACCCCCTAGTCCACTGTGCATACAAACACATAATGGATTCGGATTCGGTGGGCAGAATTTATGTATACCGCAAATGAATTCCACTTTTGAGGTATCGAACATTGTACAAACACATCAAACTAACAATAGTGTTTGAAATGAATCCCAGAAAAATCGTCTTCGATAACCCAGCGATATTATTAATGGTGTGTCAGGTGATTACACCGGTCTGCAATAATGATGAAGGGTGCATTTTGCAGAGTCGTCTGCTGGCTATTAATGCTCATTAATGCGAAAGATTTATCCCGACAAGATTATGGACCAGCATTAATTTAAATTAGTTATTAGTGATTATGCGAAGATTACATGTAAATTTGTAATAAGTAAAGTGCGATGGCCGTTGTTTGGAATTATATTTCTGTGTTAGAGGAAGGTGGACACTTGTAGTTTGTGACGCGAAACGACGAAATGACATCCCCATCTTTTTATTTAGCTCGCAGTCATAATCAAATCCTGCTCCCTGCCGTTCCAAAAGCAGCAGATTTATTTGCATGCGGCTTTATATAATATATTTATCCGCAGGAGGCGTTCTATGCAGATTTTAATCGCGAAAGAATGAATTTTGATTTTCTATAAAGCCGTTTTAAAATTGTCGTCACGTCTTTGGTATCGATAGAAGAATATGTCGAAGGAAATTGTCACACTGCTTCGACGCTGATCGGAATATTAAAGTTTATTAAATCTTGTTTACAAATTAACGCAAAGTTTTAACTAGAGCGAGTTGTAATTTTAACTAGTTTTGAAGAACAATCGCGTTTGGATACGAAACGATACTGTGTGACTATCACAACAATCTGATAACGTCATTTGAAAATTTTGCCAAGTTTTTAAATTTTATAAAACAACATACTCCTGCACTTGTGGTTTATGAATCCGTCTTTACTTTTTAACCTAGACATCCAGATTGTTGAAAAAAATCAAAATTATATAACAATATATTACATATTACAAGTTACAAGTGTGAATATTTTCTGAAGAAATGATCAAATTATGAGGACTATGTTTTCACCGTTGTTAACGAAAATAAATGCAAAACTCAAGAACTCGTCAATATTTTAAAATGAAAAATTTAACAGCACCGATAAAAATTAACACCAGTTTTCGGATTTATTGTTACAAATATTAATAGTTATAGTTCAATGTATACTGTAAAACTGAAAAACAGGTCACTACATTACTATCGACTCTCACCACAGAAAGTCTAAACAAGAGTAGAACTATTAAGTGAGTCAAAATTATATAAAAAAATCAAAATGACGAAAGGATTTACAAAAATTGTTTAAAACCAGTTGAAAGATTAAGTGTTTAAATTTTTAAATATTTTTGAGGCTTTATAACAATTTTAGAGTGAAACAGAGTGTCCACAACAGATGCTGGTCAATAAAAATGTATTGCTTTTTCATTAAATAAAATTTTAAAAAAACCGCTACTTTCGTTAAGTATTGTGACTGTAAACGCTTTTCACATCAAATTGCCTATTACTATACAGCAAAATACTACTTTAGTCATATCAGTCAAATCAGGTACAGTCGCGGACAGTGAATTACGTTCACACAATTCACAAAAATTCACTGTAGTCGGTGCTTTATTGTCATTATGACTGACGTAAGTATTGTCAAATTTAATTTAGCTTTGAACCTGCCATCGATTAGTTATTTTAATGAAGGTAAACTAATCTCCCTTTTCCAAGACGGGATGTCGCTACACTTTTGGGCTTACCGCGGACTAGTGTTAGTTATCGTATAAAAAAATGTTTGCCCCTTTATGTCAAAATGACAAAAAAAGGTTAGAAAGATCTAAGGGCTAATTTAGAGTTTTTTTCTGTCAAAGAAATTGGGTGAACGAAATTCACTGTCCACTACCGTATAAATCGTTTATAATCACACTGTATGATTTTTAGCTAAAGTTGATTAAATATTGCTTACAAATTATGTTTTCTTTGTTTCAGCAAATTTTAGGACGCCTTACGACAAATGTAAGACAGCCTCAAGTCCAAATAAAATTCATTGGAAGCAGCCAGTGGGACTAGCTAACACAGGTTTGTTGTTAAATATTATACTTATGTTTGGTAATGTTTATCGAAAAATAAGAATATAATTTCTAATAGCAAAAATAATGTAAATGGTGATCAAAAAGTTCTCCGATTAGAGTTGGCCATGGAAATATTGGTCATATCTTTGATTAAATTGTGAAAGTAGAACTGTAAAAGAAAATGCGTTTCAAAGTCAATTTTTAAATCAATTTTTGCTAGTGGTGTTTTGTTAAAATATCAAATTATTTAGGTTCAAATGCAACACCAGTTTGTTTGAACTAAAAAAAAACCGGATGCTCAAGTGAAAAAGGTATCAAATTGACGTTTATGATAGAAGGAAACGTAGCGAAAATCATATGTGTTTTATTAATCCATCGTATACTAAAATGTGAGGTTAAGTTGCAGATTTTCGACGTGCCATGGATTAAATATTAGTTATAATATTAGTTGACTAGAGTACCTCATATCATAATGTTTGTCTGTATAAATACGTTTCACGATTTTATTTTCTAGGAAAAATTGGTCATATTTAAAATTTACAGCTTCACTCCGCAAAAATCAAACAACATTTAAACTATTTATACAGGGTGATTAAAATTGTGTATTGTCGATTTTCTTACGTTAGTCAAATGGGAGACTATATTTTATAACATTCTAGACCTTGTCTCTAAATAAGCTTCTTTCGATACCAAGTTTGTTAAGGATTTAACCCAACCACATAACATAAATCTACTAAGATAACCCCCAAAAATATGTCAAAAGAAAGCTTATTTAGAGACAAGCTCGAAAATATAAAGTACAGAATGTCGCATTTAAACAAAACTGCTAATTTTCAAATTTAGGCATTCTGTATAAACAAGTTGAAAACTTGTTCGATTTTTAATATATTATGATGACTAGAAAGTTTCAACTTTAAAAATGGCGCCGCTATGAATTTTTAAATATGGTCTTTTTTCCGTAAAAATGCAAATAATTTAAAAAATGTTGAACACAAAAATCCTTGTATCTGATATTATACCTATTTCTTCTACTTCAGAAACGAAATGCACTGTATATTTTAAAATAATTTTAAATTGTAATCCTAAATAAGGTCTGTAAGTCAGCTCAGCTCAGGTCAGGTGAGTCAGGTCAGGTGAAATCAAGTCAGCTTAGGTCAAATTAAATCAGGTCAAATCAGCTCAGATCAAGTCAGGTCAGCTTAGGTCAGTCAAGTCAAGGGATCTCTGAGACTCTTTCAAACTACTTTAAACACGAAATACAAGGGATCTCCGAGATTCTTTTAAATTACTTCAAAAACAAAACACAAGGGGTCCCCGAGATTATTTCAAATTTTTTCAAAGAGAAAATCCACTGAGAATCAAACTACTTCAAAAACAAAACACAAGAGGTTCACGAGATTTCTTCAAATTACTTCAAAAAGCAAGATTCACAGGGATCCCCGAAATTCTTTCTAAATACTTCAAAAACAAACAAAACACAAGGCGCTTTCGATATTCTTTCAAATTACTTTAAAAACAAAACATGGCTTCCCCGAGATTCTTTGAAATTACTTCACCGACAAGACGCAAAGGGTGTCCCAAGATTCTTTCAAACTATTTCAAAAAGAAAATACAAGGGGTCCCCGAAATTCTTTCAAATTACTTCAAGGCAAAACACAAGAGGCTCCCGAGAGTGTTTTAAATTACTTCGAAACCAAGACAATGGAGCCCAAGATTCTTTCAAACTACCTCAAAAACAAAACACAAGAGGTTCTCGAGATTCTTCCAAATTACTTCAAAACGCTAGATCCACAGGGATTCCCCGAAATTCTTTCAAACTACTTCAAAAACAAACAAAACACAAAACGCTTTCGAGATTCTTTCAAATTACTTTAAAAACAAAACATGGCCTCCCCGAGATTTTTTCAAAATATTTCGATAACAAAACACTAAGGGCCCCCGAGATTCTTTGAAATTACTTCAACAACAAGACCCACAAGGTGTCCCCAAGATTCTTTCAAACTATTTCAATAACAAAATACAAGTGGTCCCCGAGATTCTTTGAAATTACTTCAAAGACAAAACACAAGAGGCTCCAGAGACTCTTTTAAATTACGTCGAAACCAAAACAATGGAGCCCGAGATTCTTTCAAACTACTTCAAAAACAAAACACAAGAGGTTCCCGAAATTCTTCCAAATTACTTCAAAACGCAAGATCCACAGAGGTTCTCCGAAATTCTTTCAAACTACTTCAAAAACAAACAAAACACAAGACGCTTTCGAGATTCTTTCAAATGACTTTAAAAACAAAACAAGACTTACCCGAGATTTTTTCAAAATATTTCGATAACAAAACACCAAGGGCCCCCGAGATTCTTTGAAATTACTTCAACAATAAAACCCACAAGGTGTCCCCAAGATTCTTTCAAACTATTTCAATAACAAAATACAAGGGGTCCCCGAGATTCTTTCAATTACTTCAAAGACAAAACACAAGAGGCTCCCGAGATTCTTTTAAATTACTCCGAAACCAAGACAATGGCGCCCAAGGTTCTTTCAAATTACTTCAAAAACAAAACACAAGAGGTTCCCGAGATTCCTCCAAATTACTTCAAAACGCAAGATCTACAGAGGTTCCCCGAAATTGTTTCAAACTACTTTAAAAACAAACAAAACACAAGACGCTTTCGAAATTCTTTCAAATTACTTTAAACACCAGGGGCCCCCGAGATTCTTTGAAATTACTTCAACAACAAGACCCACAAGATGTTCCCAAGATTCTTTCAAACTATTTCAATAACAAAATACAAGGGGTCCCCGAGATTCTTTCAAATTACTTTAAAAACAAGACAAGACGTCCCCGAAATTTTTTCAAAATATTTCGATAACAAAACACCAGGAGGGCCCGAGATTCTTTTAAATTACTTCAACAACAAATTCCCGACACACACAGGGTGTCCCCAAGATTTTTTCAAACTATTTCAAAAAGAAAATGCAAGGGGTTCCCGAGATTCTTTCAAATTACTTCAAACAAAAGATCCACTAGGGATCAAAGTACTTCAAAAATAAAACACAAGAGGTTCCCGAGATTCTTTTAAATTACTTCAAAAATAAGACCATGGACCCCGAGATTCTTTCAAACTATACTTCAAAAACAAAATAGAAGGGGTCTCCGAGATTCTTTTAAATTACTTCAAAAATAAGATAAGAATCCTTGAGATTCTTTCAAACTGTTTCAAAAACAAAGCACAAGAGGTTCCCGAGATTCTTTTAACTTACTTCAAAAAGCACGATCCACAAAGGTTCCCGAAATTCTTTCAAACGACTTCAAAAACAAAACAGAAGACGCTTCCGAGATTCTTTCAAATTACTTCAAAAACAAGACAAGGCCTCCCCGAAATGTCTTCAAAATATTTCGATAACAAAACACCAGGGCCCCCCGAGATTTATTCAAATTACTTCAACAACTAGACCTACAGGGTGTCCCCAAATTTTTTTCAAACTACTTCAAAAACAAAATACAAGGGGTTCCCGAGATTCTTTCAAATTACTTCAAACACAAGATCCACTGGGGATCAAAGTACTTCAAAAATAAAACACAAGAGGTTCCCGAGATTGTTTTAAATTATTTCAAAAATAAGACAATGGACCCCGAGATTCTTTCAAACTATTTCAAAAACAAAATACAAGGGGTTCCCGAGATTCTTTCAAATTACTTCAAAAATAAGACCATGGACCCCGAGATTCTTTCAAACTATTTCAAAAACAAAGCACAAGAGGTTCCCGAGATTCTTTCAAATTACTTCAAAAACAAGATAAGGCTTCCCCGAAATTTTTTCAAAATATATCGATAACAAAACACCAGGGGCCCCCGAGAATCTTTCAAATCACTTCATAAATTAGACCCACAGGGTGTCCCCAAGATTTTTTCAAACTACTTCAAAAACAAAATACAAGGGGTTCTCGAGATTCTTTCAAATTAGGTACTTTAAAAACGAGAGAAGGGATCTTCGAGTTCTTTTAAAATATTTCAAAAACAAAAGCATCATGGGTCCCCGATATCCTTCCAAACTACTTTAAAAACAAAGCACAGAAGGTTCAAATTACTTCAAAAAAAAAGATATCACGAGCGAGGGCGGGTAGGACCACTAGTTGTAGGTCTCCGAATCCAAATTTTATATACTTTAATAATCTCAATGAAGTAAAATTTCTGTCAGATTTTTTTGCCAGGTTGCATCCACCCCTGACTATGTTTTAAGTTCTCTTACATATTTTTTAATGAAGCTGATTTTTGTTGCTTTTTTTAGTTTTGAGTAAATAGAATTCAGACTGCATATTAGAATATTACACAAAGAAAATAAAGTTGAAACTAAACCTAATACCAAAAAATAGTAGCAAAATGAAGACTAAAATTTCTCACTAAATCAGAGATACCTACACTTAGCAGCAAAAAAACGTACGACACCCTGTATTCTTAAACTCTAGATTTAAATAGTCCCTTGTAGTGCAAATTTTCATCATTTTATGAAGAAAATAATAAAACCCACCCATCTTTAACCCTGGCGCTGAGCGCAGTATGGGTTATGCATTATGAAACTAAAAATTAACCAAGGCTTAAATTAATTGAAAATTCAAGTTTTCACAAACAGTTCTTAAGTAAAATCTAAAAACAATGCCAAGTGTGACATTGCACTAATTCCTAGACATAGTACAAAAAGTTGTAGTTTAAAGCACCCACCAAGCTGAAAAATGAACCGATGAATCTGCATTGTCTACCAGTAGCCCTTGGAAATTACCGCAAAAATTGTTTTGGTCGACCGCGCTTAAAATTTAACCGATGCATTTTAAATTCTGTGGTGACAATACATATTGCGGGATAATTGTATACAAAATTTAGCTTTAAAAAACCACCCCTCAAACTGTGATGGGTGTCGAAGCTCCAAAATTAACCAACTCGCAATCGGTTCAGTGGTGGCAGTATGAATGTTTTACACAAAATTTCGAGCATCTCTAAATTAATAAAATATAAAATATTCAATTTTACAGAAAAAACTTTGGACGAAAAATCCCGCGAAACGCCCGATAATCGTTCAAGTTTTCAAAACCCCAACGGCAGAAGAGGCTCTCTGCAACTGTGGCAATTCCTGGTGGCTCTTTTAGACGCACCTGATGCAAGCGCTGGATGTATAGCTTGGACAGGTCGAGGAATGGAGTTTAAACTAATAGAACCCGAAGAGGTTATTAAAAAAAAAAGTGTACCTATTTTGACACTATTACAAATGTAATATTTCAGGTGGCCCGAAGATGGGGCGCCCAAAAAAACCGTCCTGCAATGAATTACGATAAACTTAGCCGGTCTTTAAGATACTACTACGAAAAAGGAATCATGCAAAAAGTAGCAGGTACGTACTAAAATATTTCTCTGTCTTTTGTGTTAAATGAGTCGTGGTAAATTTTAGGTGAACGATACGTTTACAAATTTGTCTGCGATCCAGACGCGTTATTCAATATGGCTTACGGCAACCATCATGAAAATTCAGTGCGAACACAAATCGCAAACAGGCCCGAAAATCTTAGTACCAAAAGTGACACACATCATCTGGCTTATACGGACATGCTCAATTTCTATAACTGTGGAATTGCCCATCCTTACCAACACTTGCATCCTTATTTGCAGGATTCTAAACACACGCGTTATCCTTAAGCTGGTAGTTTAAGAAACGAAAATCTAAAAATGGTGCAATGTTTATTTATGAGATACTCCTTTCTTCTAACATTAGTCAGTTGTGAAAGTCAAGATAAATGATATTATGTTAAATTTGTGTAAATGATTATGAATACATTAATGTTGTATCAATAAAATCACTAAATTACTTTGTTTTGTGATTTTTGCTCAGCAAGGGGATGAAAATCCCATTAAGGTCGATTTATAAACTTGTCGCTGACGTTGACGTTATCGTAAGATAAATACGCGTTGCTGTTGAAAGTTGGCACGCCGTTGGGGTGACATTCGAGATGACCAACTTTAACTTTCCCCGTTACGTTGCCGTTGACGTTTGGTTTTCAACCAATCAAATTGCGGTATTGTATTTATACTGCAGCTTTCTGTCAGTACTTATGCATTGTTAAAGATGGTTCTCGACGTTTAAATTAAGAAGATTTATTGTTGTTCGCGTCAAAAACAGATTAGGTATTATAACTATAAGGGTTTACATTTTGCCCTTTTTTCTTAATATCTGTAGTCTTCTTTTCCCAACAAGAAAGGTAAAAACATGTTGAAAATGGTAAATTTTTGTAGAAAAGTATCGATTTTGGAATTAGGCTCCGCCCCTCGACCTAACAACGAATGAAAAATTCATCACAATTGAGCTTGTAATGGATATAGGTGGGGCTTAATTTTTTGCTTGTTTTTTTCTTAATATACATAGTATTCTTCGAACAACGCGATACTCAAAAACGTGCTCTTTATTTCTTGTAGAGAAATAAGGATTTCACAATTAAGCTCCGCCCCCTTGGCTCACGATGAATAAAAAAATCGTCACAATTGAGAAGGGTCCAGTGGGCCAGGCTTACATTTCGCCTTTTTTTCTTAATATGTGTAGTCATCTTTTCACAACAAGAAACTTAAAACATGTTTAAAATGGTAAATTTGTATAAGAAACTATCGATTTTGCAATTACGCTCCGCCCCTCAGTCTGACAACGAATAAAAAATTCATCACGAGTGAGACTGAGACGGATGGGTGGGACTTCTCTTTTGATCTTCTTTTTTAAAGTACGTAATATATTTAGTTTTCTTTTTTCGATTACTTAAGAACATATTTCACACGGTAATTTCTCGTAGCAAAATAAGGATTTTACAATTAAGCTCCGCTTCGACTTACGACGCATAAAAAAAAATCATCAGAATAGAGATACGGTGGGTGGGCGGGGCTTATATTTTAGCTTTTTTTTAATATACATAGCCATCTTTTCACAACAAGAAAGTTCGAAGATGGTTAAAATGGTACATTTTTGCAATTATGGGGGGGAGCCTAATTGCAAAATCGATATTTCCTTATACAAATTTTCCATTTTAAAGAAGTTTTAAGTTTCATGTTGTGAAAAGAAGTCTACACATATTAAAACAAAAAGGCAAAATGTAAGCATCCCCCCCCAACCCGCCCTATCTCAATTGTGATGATTTTTTTTTATTCGTCGTGAACCAAGAGGGTGTAACTTAACTGCAAAATATTTGCTTCTTTACAAGAAATTTAAACATGTTTTTCAGTATCGTGTTGTTCAAAGAATACTATGTGTATTAAGAAAAAAGGCAAAATATAAACCCCGCCCACCTACCCAATCTCAATTGTGATGATTTTCTTTATTCTTAGAAGCTTAAAACACATTTAAAATGGTAAATTTTTGTAAAGAAATATGTATTTTGCCATTAGGCTCCGCCCCTAGATCGGTCAATGAATGCAAACTTCATTACTATTTAGATCAGGGGAGGTATGGGTGGGGCTTAATCTTTGACTTTAATTTTTTATTAATATAGTATTCCTTGAATAACACGATAGGTACTCAAAAACATGTTTTTAATTTCTAGCAGTTAAGCTCCGCCCCCTTGGCTCACGACGAAGAAAAAAATCATTGCAATTGACATAGGTCAAGTGGGCGAGGCTTACATTTTGCCTTTTTTTCTTAATACTATGTGTAGTCATCTTTTCACAGCAAGAAACTTAAAAAATGTTTAAAATGGTAAATTTGTATACGGAAATATCGATTTTGCAATTACGCTCCGCCTCTCGACTTACGATAAATAAAAAAAAAACATCAGATTCGAGATAGGGTGGGTGGGCGAAGCTTATAGTTTGTTTTTTTTTCTTACTATACATACCTATCTTTTCATAACATTTTAAACAAGTTTTAAATTTCATGTTGTGAAAAGAAGTCTATACATATTAAAAGAAAAAGGTAAAATGTAAACCCGCCCACCCACCTTAACTCAAATGTAATGATTTTTTTTATTTGTCGTGAACCAAGAGGGCGTAACTTAACTGCAAAATACTTGTTTCTTAACAAGAAATTAAAAACATGTTTTTGACTATCGTGCTGTTGAAAGTATACTAAGTATGTGTATTAAGAAATAAAGGCAAAATATAAACCCCGCCCACCCACCCCATCTCAATTGTGATGATTTTTTATTCTTAGAAACTTAAAACACATTTAAAATGGTAATTTTTTTTTAAGAAAATAAGGATTATGCAATTCCGCTTCTTTGACTTTCGACGATTGAAGAAATCATCACAATTGAGATAGGGTGGGTGGGCGGGGGTACATTTATCCTCTTTTTCTTAATATCTGTAGACTTATTTCGACAACAAGAAACTTAAAACATGTCTAAAATGGTAAAACGGAATTTATAAATGATAATTTTCAGCTCTAAAAGCAACGTCAGCGGTAACAGCAACTGCAACGGGGACAAGTTTATAAATCTCACTTTAATTATAAACATGTTGACAATGAGAAGGCAAAAACTGGTCAAAAACATGAAAATATAATAATATATAACATATTGGTAAAAAATAGTAGTGTCTAGAATGGTGTAGGTCTTTTAATACCGAGTGACTATTAATATTAACTATTTTTTGTTGTCAGATTGGCAACATGTTTAAAACTTTGTGATGACATACCTGAAGACCAATTCAAATTTTGGTCATGAATTTTAGGCGCGCTCGTGTCAGAATTGCCAACTGTAAACCGATATGTTACATTGCTGCCAATAATTCAGAACTGCTAATCCAAAAATTTGCTTCATTTATTAATGGTCACCCGGTACATTGCAGATAAAACTAATAAAACGTTTGGTTATGTAACTAACAATGCTAAAATGTGTATTACTAATTTTGACATTGACAGTCCTAATTTTTAAAAAACACTTAAAAGGAATTAAGCGCTTTTATACTTTTGTAGTAATTTCTTAAACGTCTTGTAATTGTAAGTACTTTTCAGAAGACTCTTAAAATTAAAAAAAAACCGTTTTGGTTATGCAACTAACAATACTTCCTGTGACGTTTAGTATCAGTTGGTAACACCAGTTGGTAGCAAACATAACCAAAAACATTTTAAAAATTTCCGCTTTTTTAGGTTAGAAAGTCACAAAGGTTAGATTGTTTATTTACAACCCGGTTTTTCAACCACACCAAAAAATGGTCGTAAAAATGTCCTCAACGAGACGTTGGTTATCAAAAATCTACAACGACTCCCAAGAAAGTAAAACAGACACGGACATCTCCTGGAGCAACTCCGATTCAGACGACGAAAACCCGCAGCCCCCTATTAAAAAGCGTCGGTCAAGCACCGAACCCGTACAAAAATCCAAACCCAGCAATTGGTTAAACTTGAACGTGACTCCACCAAAGAAAGCTTTAAGTGCGGACCCATTAGCGTCACAGGATTCCTTTTTAGAGTCTCCAATAATCAGCGAAATAAAACTAGAGGAACAGTCGCCAGTCCTCACACAAACAGACGCTTCATCGAGCAAAGAGGAATCGCCGGTTTTAAATCGCAGCAAAATAATCAGAAAAATTCGGTGGCGGAAGCGCAAAAAAGAAGAAGTGCAATTGAAAATTGTAACTGAGGAGTCTCTGGATTCGCAGGCAGGTGTGGTGATTGAGGATAATTCCACTCAGTCGACGCACATTGAAATTTCACCAGCAAAGTCAGAGTTGTCACAGCCTTGTGAAATAGACCCTTTTCCTAGTCAACACAGTTCGGAGGTTATTTCAGACTCGTTTACGAGTAGCGGCTCAGATGCGAGGTTGCTTTTGTATCATCAACCTCCACCGAGGAAAAAACGCTACAAGAAAGGGGGGTTGGCGAGTCAGTTACATAAAGCCACTAACTCACAGAGTAGCAGTGTGGCTATTTGGCAACATGAAGTGTTCTTGAGTAAGTTAAAAGGAGAAGAAGTCTCTAAATTAAAAGTAAGTGATGGGGTACAAATTGACTTTTTGGTAGTAGATAAGTGGAAAGAATATGGGTGTAAAATTTTGGAGTGCAGATGTATTGAAGAGTCAGATACTAAGAAACTAGTTTTTAGTTTCAGTCACCCAGAAATTGATAATTATGATAGTTTTGTAGTTGTAGCAAATACAAATATGTGTGTTGAAACTGGTCAAAAGTATCAAATTTTCCCGCCATATTCCACCAAAGTGGTGTCTTATAAGTTGAAAACTACTCTTTGCGTTATTGATGCTTCTAGGTTTGTTTTATTATAATTTTTATTCAGTTTAGTTTATTTTGTACAGAGAAAACAAATTATTTTTGAAGGTTATTGATTGGTACTCCATATTTAATTTATTTCTAACTACAAACCAAACATGTAATCAGTTTGTTGATATTGCTCTAACGTTTATTCGCAATCAATATTATAATCAAACACCAATTGTAACACAAATTATTTATCATTTTTGTGTGGTCTTTCACATTTGATTGTCAATCATTACAAAGTCCATACATTTTTATAAATTTGTATACCTATGAAGTAAATATAGAGTATTTCCAAAAGAAAGTTTGATTGTTTCAATTTTGGAATGTAAAATATCACATGATCAACGTGAAGGAGCTCTTCTTTAGTCTTTTTTGGTCGCTACTTACACTTACTAAGAATATTTGTTACAATGGAAACTTAACGGAAGAATAGATTTAATCCTACATATATTCAACACAGTTCTTCAACACTGACAACAACACACAACATAACACCAACATTTAGTTGCGATTGACAACAACGCTACGAACAGAATTTGTACAATTGCAAATTGTTGTGAAAATCCGTGTTGCGAAGGTACGGGCATGCGAGCGCGCCCTGTTAGACCATGCCCCAATGCGCTTAGTCCCATCTGAAAAAAACACATATTTTTCTTAGTAAGTTTACAACATTTATTACACGTGTGCGGTAATAATGCATTAGCTCACGCTCCTCTCGTAAAAATACACTTTAAAATAAAAAATATATTCATACTTCATCTCTTTTTTCTAACAACTTATATTCTTTTCTTCTAAGGACCAAAGTTATTGTGGCTGAAATATAACCGAAACAATGCCTATACTACTTGTAAAAACACGTTTTTCTGGCGCCTGAAATTTAGATGTGAATATCTCATGAGAAAGACGTTGCTTACGACACTCGTGGGTAATGCGGTGCATTAGCTACTCGTGCGATAAAAGCGTCGTTGTCTCACGGAAACGACCCACTCCGTGGGTTGTAAATAAAATTTTGAATCTGCCGCTAGCAGGTTTATTGATTTTTAAACCTGGGCGCCAAATTCAAGCAGCGCATCCGTCAATACTCACTTTGTATTCCTAAAGCGTCCTAAAAAAACACATATAATTGTTATAATAAACAATCTCGCATTGGCACTGCATTAACATACCAGTTTGCCTTTGCCTTTGCCGCAGCTCCTCAGTTCGGCCTCTTTTTGCGCTTTGTCTAAAAGGTCGGTCAAAAAATCATTCACATCTTGCATTTTTTCGGGGTCGCTTTTGAACTGTGCTATCTGCAGTTGCAGCGGTTGGTTTAAATCTAAATTCAAATCGGCCATTGTGTATGAGGTAAAGAGTAAGAAAATCACGCTAAAAGGCGACGGCGGTTTTTTCGAGAATTGGTGGCAGGTGTCACTTTTGAGGAGATTGACGGATGCTTGTCAACATAGCATGTTATGAAATAATCTTGCACGATTCTGTGTAGGCGAAAACACTACCGATACCCTTCGCACTTCGCAGTTGACTGGCTCGATCCCCACTCCGTGTCCTCAATCACCACGATCACATTTTGCCCGGAGCGGCTGTAGAAGTAACAATACGCAGATTGCTTGTGTAATCACCGGAGTTTTCCGGCGTTTAAAACAGGTGACTACACGAAAAGGAGCACTTGGCGTAAATTGGCAACGAGACGAAAGCGAGCTCCGTGGCGTGGAAAACGGGATGTTTTGCCGGCTTCGAGTGCGTGCTGGCTAGGGTGTGTTGAGCAATTTCCGTTCTACCAGCGAATTATGCAGATTGTTTAATTATACTTTTATTGATGTAAATTGAAACGACAATTTTCAGGAAATTATGCGGTTGTTCAACTTGTTTAGCAGTTTTTTACCGGCTTGACAAAAATTGATCCATACCTATGTTTTAATCTTTAAATTTTGATCAACTGTACACACTTTGGGTGGTATTGTACTCCGTTTACCGAACAGATGGAGTTGTAATTTGGCCGAGGGATGTTGAATTGGGTACGACTGGTTTCACACAGTTCAACAAATTTTACCTATCCTTTCCGCTTAGGTCAACTGGAACTTCACTCTCGCTTAAGCCTTCGTAATCGTTTATTCGATATTTTCTGTAAATCAGTCTTTTTAAAGGCTTTTACTTTATTTTTGAATGGAAAACCATGTGGAGCTTTAGATCCCGATTCACAGTTTAGTTTCTCGGATAGTGATTTTTTTAATTGCATAAGATTGTATACCTAACATTGTATTTTTCAGCCCATAGGGTCTGAATCTCGGAAAATGCTTAAATACGTGTTTCTTTATTTGTGTTGAAGAGTAGTAATACCAAGTTTCACGTAAACATTTCAATTTACAATATTTATTTTTATTATAATGAGATTTCTTTGTGGAAGTTGGGCTTTAGAGATGTGTATGACAAGTGGCGTACGACGAACACAGACGGCATAGACATTTTTTTTACTACTTGATTTCCAACTGAAAATTTTGACGATTCTTGAGTTAATCAGTACGAAATTTTAAATCAGGTCGTTCAGTTTTAAGTAACAACAATGTTTATCTAAATATATTATGGTATTTGTGTTTCGTAACAACAAACAGTTTTCAAAATTTATAAAATTTTGACGAATTTTTGAAAAATTAAGACAAAAGTGACACATGTTTTAACACTGAGTTGGTTTAGAAAATCCAGAAGTGTTATTTTGACAACCTCAGGATCTCAACATTCAATAGAATATGTACCTACCTTAATTTTTTGGATGAGAAGACTTGTTTTTATTTTTATTAAAAAAATACTCCTATATATTTAGATGTCTAATGAGCTCAAAAATGTTACAATGTGCAAGTTCTTTTTTTGTAAATAAAGAACTTTTGTTTTTATTAAAATATGTATGAAAGGGGATTTTTTCTTTTATACGACGCACTAAAAAAATGGGTGGGTGGGTGGGGAAATTTTATTTTTATTATAATGAAATATCTTTGTGGAAGTGGGGCTTTAGAAATGCGTATGACCAGGAAACCAGTTGCCTATGATGAAGACAGACGGCGTAGACATTTTTTTTTACTACTAGATTTCCAACTGAAAATTTTGACGATTCTTGAGATAATCAGTAAGAAATTTTAAATCAGGTCGTTTAGTTTTAAATAGCAAGAATGTTTATCTAAATATATTATGGTATTTGCGTTCCGTAACAACAACAAACAGTTTTCAAGATTTATAAAATTTTGACGAATTTTTGAAAAATTAAGTCACAAGTTAGACAAAAGTGGCACATATTTTGACACTAATCTTGAATCCAGAAGTGTTATTTTTTAACTTCGACAACCTCAGGATTTTAGCATTCAACAAAATATGTACCTTAATTTTTTCGATGAGAAGACTTGTTTTTATTTTTATTAAAAAATTATTTAGATGTCTAACGAGTTCAAAAATGTTACAACGTACAAGTTTGTTTTTGTAAATAAAAACCTTTTGTTTAGGAATTTTTATAAAAATGGTTTTCTTTTTGTTATATTCGACGCGCTAAAAATGTGTGGGTGGGTGGGGCACTTTTATTTTTATTATAATGAAATATCTTTTTAGATATGCGTATGACCTGAAACAAGTCAAAAGTTAGATAAAAGTGACACATGTTTTAACATTGATCTTGTTTAGAAAATTCAGAAGTGTTATTTTCTAGCTTCGACAACCTCAGGCTTTCAACATTCAAGAAAATATGTACCTTAATTTTTTCGATGAGAAGACTTATTATTTTCATAAAAAAAATATTTAGATGTCTAACGAGCTCAAAAATTTTACAATGTACAAGTTTTTTTTTTGTAAATAAAAAACTTTTGTTTAGGAATTTTTATAAAAAGGGTTTTCTTTTTGTTATATTCGACGCACTAAAAGTGGGTGGGTGGATAGGGAACTTTTATTTTTATTATAATGAAATATTTTTGTGGAAGCTGAGGTTTAGATATGTGTATGACCTGAGAACAAGTTGCCCACGACGAGGACAGACGGTGTAGACATTTTTTTTTTTAGTACTTGTTTTTCAGCGGAAAATTTTGACGATTTTTAAGAAAATTAATACGATATTTTAAATCAGGTTCAGTTTTTAGTGTCAATAATGTTTATCTAAATATATTATGGCATTTGTGGTTTGTAACAACAAACAGTTTTCAAGATTTATAAAATTTTGACGAATTTTTGAAAAATTAAGTCAAAAGTTTTAACACTGATCTTGTTTAGAAAATCCAGAAGTGTTACTTTTAGCTTCGACAACCTCAGGATCTCAACATTCAAGAAAATATTAATCTCAATTTTTTTCGATGAGAAAACTTGTTTTTATTGTATTAAAAAATATTTAGATGTCTAACGAGCGCAAAAATTTTACAAATTACAAGTTTTTTTTTTTATAAATAAAAAACTTTTGTTTAGGAATTTTTATAAAAAGGGTTTTGTTTTTGTTATATTCGACGCGCTAAAAATGGGCGGGTGTGGGGCCACTTTTATTTTTATTATAATGAAATATCTTTGTGGAAGCTGAGTTTTAGAGATGTGTATGACCTGGAAAGAAGTTGCGTACGACGAAAACAGACGGCGTATAATTTTTTTTTACTACTTAATTTCCAACTGAAAATTTTGACGATTCTTGAGATAATCAATACGAAATTTTAAATCAGGTCGTTCAGTTTTAAGTAGCAACAATGTTTATCTAAATATATTATGGCATTTGCGTTCCGTAACAACAAACAGTTTTCAAGATTTATAAAATTTTGACGAACTTTTGAAAAAGCAAGTCAAAAATTAGACAAAAGTTACACATGTTTTAACACTGATCTTATTTAGAAAATCCAGAAGTGTTATTTTTTAGCTTCGACAACTTCAGGATCTCAACATTCAAGAAAATATGTACCTTAATTTTTTCGATGAGAAAACTTGTTTTTATTGTATTAAAAAAATATTTCGATGTCTAACAAGCTCAAAAATTTTACAAATTACTTTTTTTTTTGTAAATAAAAACCTTTTGTTTAGGAATTTTTATAAAAATGGTTTTCTTTTTGTTATATTCGACGCACTAAAAATGTGTGGGTGGGTGGGGCACTTTTATTTTTATTATAATGAAATATCTTTTTAGATATGCGTATGACCTGAAACAAGTCAAAAGTTAGATAAAAGTGACACATGTTTTAACACTGATCTTGTTTAGAAAATCCAGAAGTGTTATTTTTTAGCTTCGTCAACCTCAGGCTCTCAACATTCAAGAAAATATGTACCTACGTTAATTTTTTGGATGAGAGGACTTGTTTTTATTTTTATTTAAAAAATACTCCTATATATTTAGATGTCTAATGAGCGCAAAAATGTTACAATGTGCAAGTTTTTTTTTTTGTAAATAAAGAACTTTTGTTTTTATCGAAGTTTTAAATCAGGTCGTTCATTTTTTAGTAGCAACAATGTTTATCTAAATATATTATGGTATTTGCGTTTCGTAACAACAAACAGTTTTCAAGATTTATAAAATTTTGACGAGTTTTTGAAAAATTAAGTAAAAAGTTAGGCAAAAGTGGCACATGTTGTAACACTGATCTTGTTTAGAAAATCCAGACGTGTTATTTTTTAGCTTCGACAACCTTATGCTCCCAACATTCAAGAAAATATGTACCTACCTTAATTTTTTGGGTGAGAAGACTTGTTTTTATTTTTATTAAAAAAAATTTTTAATGTCTAATGAGCTCAAAAATTTTACAAAGCAGAAGTTTTTTTTTGTAAATAAAAACCTTTTGTTTAGGAATTTTTATAAAAAGGGTTTTCTTTTTGTTATATTCGACGCGCTAAAAATGGGTGGGTGAGTGGGGCACTTTTATTTTTATTATAATGAAATATCTTTGTGGAAGTTGGCCTTTAGATATGCGTATGACCTGAAAACAAATTGCCTACGACGAAGACAGACGACGTAGAAATTTTTTGTACTACTTAATTTCCAACTGAAAATTTTGACGATTCTTAAGATAATCAATACGAAATTTTAAATCAGTTCGTTCAGTTTTAAGTAGCAACAATGTTTATTTAAATATATTAGGGTATTTGCGTTCCGTAACAACAAACAAGTTTTCAAGATTTATAAAATTTTGACGAATTTTTGAAAAATTAAGACAAAAGTGACACATGTTTTAACACTGAGTTGGTTTAGAAAATCCAGAAGTGTTATTTTGACAACCTCAGGATCTCAACATTCAATAGAATATGTACCTACCTTAATTTTTTGGATGAGAAAACTTGTTTTTATTTTTATTAAAAAAATATTTAGATGTCTAACGAGCTCAAAAATTTTACAATGTACAATTTTTTTGTAAATAAAAACCATTTGTTTAGGAATTTTTATAAAAAGGGTTTTCTTTTTGTTATATTCGACGCGCTAAAAATGTGTGGGTGGGTGGGGCACTTTTATTTTTATTATAATGAAATATCTTTTTAGATATGCGTATGACCTGAAACAAGTCAAAAGTTAGATAAAAGTGGCACATGTTTTAACACTGATCTTGTTTATAAAATCCAGAAGTGCTATTTTTTCGCTTCGACAACCTCAGAATCTCATCATTCAAGAAAATATGTACCTTAATTTTTTCGAGAGA